GATTTCGGTGCATATTGATTGGTGTCGTTTCTTTATTTTGCTTTTAATTATTTACAGTGGCTTTCTTACTGAACCCTGAGCTGTAATATTTTCTGATAATGCTTGACAACGTCAACAAAACATTTTGAAAAAGCTTACAAAACATTTTGAAAAAGCTTACAAAACAGCAAGCATGTACTACCACGAGTTTTAACAGCAATTCAAAATCCGACTCATTGTGTTCTTGAAAAGTTGCATTTTTTCGATTCCAGAATATCATCCTTTCTTTGTTTTTTTTTTATCTTGGATTTTAGCCCAGTTAATAATTAAAGTTTTTATTGTGTTCTCCTTCTACTTGTTGCAAAGATTTTATCTCAATTCAAATGCTGTGTAGTTGTACATGTAAATATATTTATTTCATTTATCCTAATGTTCAGTCAATTCCAAGCATACCCATTCTTCCTGGGAATTTTTTCTTGCATTTTGTTCCTACAGTGGGCATTTTTAATTGACAAAAGCATCATTGGGGTTGGAAATTTTTGGCATTGTTTAATTAACCTTACTCCCTTAAGGGGTACCATCTAAGCTTGTTCTTATGTATGTACTCTGTATACGCCATATTGTTTGCCAAGTCTACCCTGGAAAGTTTATCTTATTAAGTAATTTTGGGTTATAAAGTTGTCCTCTTTGCAGTGTCTTTGGGGTCTGTATGGATATCAGGAAAACTGTAAGGTTGCTGAGTTAAGTTGTTAAGTATGTTTACTGTGAAACTCACAAAACCGTGAACACCAGAAATATTTATGGAATGTTATTGTGTTACGAGAATCAGGCAATAATTAGGCGCGAGATAACTTACACACAAACAGCAATGGTAATTAGTTTGTGGTTTAGAGTTTTGCTTGCATATTCCTATTGGCTAGTACACAATCAATATTCCTGAAAATTTTCAGGCGCTCACTGTTTTCGGAGTTTGACAGTAACAATTTTCAGCTTTTTACAAGGTGACATACATGTAACTTTTGCTTTGATACTGGGGCATTTGTTCCAACTTTTATTTCCATGGTGGGGTTTTGTATGTATCTACTGGCCCCACAGTAGGGGCGGGCATTTGCAGCTTTGGAATTAAAAAATGATAAATGCCTGTGGAGGGGGGTGGGCATGTTTAGAATTGACTGAGTCATAAAGAAGCTCATCTTCTGTAATCCTTTTACCTATACAGCCCTATTTGTATATATTAAGATTTATGATTTATTAACCCACCTCATGTACCCTCACATTAAAACATTTATACTTCTAGAACAGTAGTATGTTATATGGAGAATTCATGTTTTTGTATTTGCTACCTATATATTTGCTAAATATTCTGCAGAATTAAACAATGGCTGCACCAGGTCAAGTTTGAAATAATACATCTAGGCTGATTAATATTAACTGAAAAACACAATATTCCATTGGTTTTCTCATTGTTATAGCTCTTATTGATATCAAAAGGAAATGCTATGGAATAAGTTCTACATGTACATTCAAGAGATTAAAACTCAGCTTTGTGTCCTAGTAGTGCTGCATGCACTTTTCTCTCTGCAGTAATTTCAATACATAATTCTAAGAAACAGATCATAATAATAGGAATTTTGTAGGAAATTACATGTATGCAATTGTTATACCATGTTAACCAGTGGATATCCTGATATTTCATACATCATATTGAAGTTGGATGTGACCCTGGACAAACACTGACCTCTTTATGATTAGATTTGTCTGTTGTCTAAATTTAATTTTACCCATATTCATCATCAGAGGTAGAGTAATATTGTGCCATGTACATCAGGAATTAGTGCTGCACAAATGGGTGTAATAATGAAAATAATAATAATGTTTTTCTGTTTCTTTTTCTTAAGCTTGTAGTGACAGGAGAGGAAATATGACTTGAGCCCAGGTAAACATTTATTTTATGCGTAATTTTTGCTTTAGTTATATAATGTATGTTATGGTACTAATCAGAACATGAATGTCAACATAACCGTCTTTTTGTAGTCAATGGATCAGTGAAGTACCATAATGATTAATCGTGAAATTTAATTTATCCTGGTACAAAGGAACAAAGGACAGAAAAGAACATTATGGAAACGTACACATGTAAAAAATGATAATTTAACTTTGATGCTGCTACAAAAACCTTTGAAAATTCCCCTTAAAAAACAATTTATTAATTTACTTATAAAAAGACATCCGTTTCTGTAGACATGAACCTGGTTGGTGTGAAGAGAATGCATCATTTAACTGTGTTGTATAGTGTATATTGGTAATCTTAGCAATGGATCTTTGATTTCCTTTTTGCATATAGCGGCAGACAGTCAACCACTTGGTCATGTTAAAACTTCTTTTACCTTAACCTGCCTGACAGTAGAGTAAGTCTATGTAAACAAAACACTATTCCTCCCACTAAAGGGCTCCTCATGTTTGAGTATTCATTGGTCATTTGTCCTTGCGACCGTTTCTCCTGCTGTAGGTGGGGCTAGAGTTGTGACAACGAGCATTCTTTGTCTGTTCGTCCTTGCGACCCTCTCTCCTGCCGTTAGGTGGGGCTAGAGTTGTGACAACGAGCATTCTTTGTCAGTTCGTCCTTGCGACCCTCTCTCCCGCTGTAGGTGGGGCTAGAGTTGTGACAACGAGCATTCTTTGTTTTTGCGTCCTTGCGACCCTCTCTCCTGTCGAAGGTGGGGCTAGAGTTGTGACAACGAGCATTCTTTTACTGTTGGTTCTTTTGACCCTCTCTTCTTCCACATGTTGTGTAAGGCTTCTGACGATGGGTGCTGTTAACCTGGCCTTATTATCAGTTATTTGTCCTTCTAAACTTTTTTTTTAAATCATTTACCCCTTTTTTGTTTTTGTTTTTTTCAACTAGGGTAACCGTCTCAGAGCTGTTTTAATAAATTCCTAAATAACTTTCTTGTTTAATTGGAAGGCATGGTTATAAATTTACTGCTGATGTGTGTGCAATTGTCTTCAATTTTTGTGCTATTTTACAATGATTGTTGTGCAGGTTGCAGATGTAGTATGGATTGCAAATACAGATCCATGGTTTATGCGGTACATTTATGTAATTTTTTTTAAACTTCACTAGAAATTGCATGTTTCAATTATAACTGTATTTAATGTGGTTAAAGTAGCTCAACCGTTTAGAACCAAGAAGTAAAATGTCTAAATTTTCGTTTTCTGTAGTTAACGGCTCATTTTCAGAAAAATATTCGTTGGGTGCCCCTGTAGGTGGCGGGCCAAGGAATGAAATATTTTCAGTTACAATGATTCTTACTGCTCAGTCCAATAGTCCCATTATTACAATTATTATAACTAAAGATGACAAAAATGGAATTGATGGTAAAAGCGTTACGTTTGCTGATCAATAAGACGTACAGTGTGCCTGGCTGGCTAAATTGTAACTCTTTATCTTTAAGGCATTCTTGCTTTGGTGCTGGTTTTTGCCAAAATGTTTGTTTGTCTGTTTGTTTTTGGTATAAAAAAAGGGATGAAAGGATGATGGTAGGTAATTAGTTTTATTAGAGTTACTCTAACCATCCCTTTGTAAGGGATTGATAAAATAGAGTCCATCTAAATTGTGCGTCTGTTCACACACAATGTGCTCCTGTCAACCTAAAGAGCCCACGTACTGAGCGCCACACCTCCATCAATGCCAAGAAAACACATCAAAAGAGTGATTCTACACAGCAAAATAGAAAGAAGCGTTTCAGGTGTTATTAAAGTGCGGAATCACACTTAGGGAACTTTCACGATCTACTCAAGTTGAATGTTAAAATAACGCGGTGTTTTGTCTTCACAGGGAATACTGTTCTCTTCAAGTTTCATCAAAGTGTTTATTTAAAGGTATGCTCTCACACGCAAAACTCGTCAATTGTCAAAGCACTGTGTATCATCTACCGACGTTCTGCCCCTTTTTGTAGGATATCAAATCTGAATCACAGTAACTGTAAAGAAAAAAGAAGGAATCATTACGGTGAAGGGGCTGGACTTTTTATCCTTACCACCTTTCCCTCGTATTTTAAATTCTTTCAGGAAGAGGACTTGAAGAGCAGTTTATTGAATACCCGAATTTTTTTCCAAAATGAGTAGAATCCTGATCTCTTGAATCATTAGTTTCCAGGTCCTCCTTATTAATTAAACTGGGATTCCACAAGATCCCATGAGTACTCCTGGATTCCATTATTGCAGGTAAACCCCTGTTCCGATCTGTTATAGACTGTTTGATTAAAACAGCTCGAAATTTTTTCAGTCTTTGGTGTTTGTATATCAGATCAAACACTCCTTCTTGTGTTTAATACATTTCCTTATTTTATCGGAAACCGAAGAGAATTCTGTAATAACGAAAAGATAAAGAGGTGTCCACAGTCCATGATGTTTTCCTTCAGCAGGCCGAGGTTGATAACACCATCCTCGATCTGAACAACTTTTCATATCATACTTAAGTCAAAGCCAGTGATTGTTTTATTAATTATTCCAAAGATTTTCCACTTCAAAACATGCTTAACTCGATCTATTATTTTAAAGTTTCCGTCCTCAAATATTTTCCTGTTGGGGAAATGAAAGAATGTTTCTTCCAGCAGATGTTTTTCAAATAGCAGTTGTCATCCGTCGAGTGGCATTGTCGGTCTGTTTTTTCCCATGTTTTGAGGCAGTAGTTCAGACTGTTTCGTCTTCACATAATGTGTAAAATCTTACGCCATTTTCTTCAGCACTACACTGCAAACACACATTAGAGCAAACTCGCCATTTATTACTTTGTCTGTCGTCAGTATCAATACAATTGACGCCAAGTGTAATGATATTGGCAGGTTTGGTCATCGCCAGCTTGCTATGAAGAATTAGTCAAGAGATTTAAGCTCTTCAAAAGCAGAGAAATATTTTAAACAAATAATGACGGTTATCAAGACGTAATTACCTTGTACTTATACGAAGTTATGGCATGGATTTGCAGAGGGAATTAATTAATTCCAAATTTGGACAGTTTAAAAGTTGGTGGTTGTCCTTTGTGTCCGAAGAAGACTGCGTGTTGTGTGATAATATATGGATTCTCTGGGACGGTGGGGGTACTGGACCTCCATTGTTGTAATTTCAGCCGAGGATGCTCTGTGGCGTCGTTCACAGGCTGCCATGAGTCTTTGAAGCCGTTCGTCCTCGAAACTGGTGGAGGCTGTGTGGATGTCACACCACGGAAAGTTCACCTTGACAGTGTCCTTGTACCGCTTCAGCGGGCGGTTTTTCTTTCTCTTGCCGGCCCCAAGCTCTCCATACAGCAGTTGACGGGGCATGCGATGGTCGTCCAACCTGATGCACGTCCCACCCATCGCAGCTAGGCCTTGATGAGTATGGGCTCAATACTGGTACAATCTTCACGGTCCAGGACCTTTGGTCTGTGATACGGTCTTGACAGCGGACGCCAAGTAGGGAATGGAAAGCACGCATGTGAAAGTGCTCCAGCTGTTTGACATGCCCGCGGTACAGTACACAAGTCTCGCACCCATACAGGAGAGAGGTGAAGACAACAGCTCTGTGAACTATCAGCTTCGTAGAGACGCAAATGTTATGGTGATTGTGCACCTCTGTGCCCCCGCCCCTAGGCCCCTAACGCTTGGCTTGCTTTGCTGATCCTGGATGTGGCTTCCCTCGTTTGAGATGATGCTGCCCAGGTACTTGAAGCTGTCGACATTTGCCAGCGGCGTGTCGTTGGTGCTAATGTTTGGCCCCACTGGTGGTGTTTGGAGTAGGCTGGTGCAGTACCTCGGTCTTGCTGAGGCTGATAGTCAGCCCGAAGGCCTTCGACGCCTCCTAGATTTGTTGATCTGCAGTTTGCTGTCCTTGTTTGCGAGAAGGGCACAATCTTCCGCAAATAGGGCTTCTTGAATCAGTTGGTGCCAGCACTTTGTCTTTGCGTTCAGATGCTGGAGATCAAAAAGGGAGAAATCCAGGCGGTATCTGATATCCTCCATGTCCTGTACAGCATGTGCCAGCATGCACTTGGAGAAGAGGTTAACAGGTCTGGGGCTGCAGTCGGACTTGCTCCCGTTATTCTTGTGGAAAGAAACGATGATACCATCCCGAAAGTCTTCAAGCATGACATCCTCGCTCCTATACTTTGCAGAACAAAGCCTCTAGTGCGTTGCGGCCCCCAGCTTTGAAAATCTCAGCTGGGATACTGTCTATTCCTAACGTTCTGTTGGATTTCATGGCGGAGATAAATATTTGGAGGCTGATCAAGTCCCTCAACGACAGGTTGTTGCGGGATCTGCTGGAGAGTCGCTTTTTCAACTGTGGAAGGCCTCTTGAGTTATGTCGAGCAGCGTACAGCCCAGCGACCTCTGAGTCCTTCCTGGTCTTTGATCAAGTTCGATCTGTCAGAAGACAGCAGGGAGGAGCACCCTGATCTAGACGGGCCATAGACTGTTTTTATGGCGTTGAAGAATTGTTTTGTGATGTGGGTGTCTGCATAGTGCTGAACCTCCTCAGCCTTCTTCTGCCACCAAAGATCTTGCATTTTCCTGAGTTCTGTCCACACTCTGGAATATAGGTCTTTGAATTTTTCCTTATTTGACGTAGATGATTGTTCTCCCTGCAACTCGGCATAATATGCTTTGTTCGTGGCATCCAGTGCTGCCGAGATGGATTTATGATTCTCGTCGAACCAGTCCTGGTGTGACCGGGTTTTTGGGTCCTAGCACAGCTTTGGTAGTGCTAATGATCGTGTCCTTGACCTGCATGTGACGACTTCTCTGTGCTGCCTCATTCAAGGGGGTTTTCTCTAGAAAATTTCTTTTCCAAGGCATAATGGAAGCTATAGTGGTGAAGGTGGCGATAGTGTTTCAATTTGGCATTGTCGAATGACAGCTTTCAGTTTCTTGCTGTGCTGGGGTGGGGAACAATGTGGAGTTAAAAGTTATAGTTAAGACAAAGTATCAAACAAAAAAGAAATATGTGCTTACAATAAAATATTGTAACTCGTTCAAGAAATTCAAGCTATTTTTATGTGTGGCATATATGTGTATGTGTGCAGCCGAGTTAAACTAGTCTTTATACCCAATATTTAATATTATTATTGTGCCTAATGTACTGTGATTGATGGACATAAAAAAGAGCAATAATGATAATCTTTGCTTCTAGTTCTAGAGGTACACTATAATAAGGACGCCAGGCGTCTAAACTATACGGGTGAATACAGTTGGCAATGTCCAAACGCTTTGGTGAAAACATTCCTCAGTATGATGCCACACTATACGGGAGTAAAGATCAATGAGCGGTTCGTGGGTGAATACTATCCTTGACTTTAAGCAAAACACTGTTTACATTTTCAGTTAGGGTTAACCGACATTCGTTCGAGGGGTGTTTCGAGGGATGACATTTTGGACATCGTTAACGTTTCACAGGAGTGACAATCGTCTATCGTCTGTTCCCTTTCAACTGAATGGATGTCTCCAGTGATGGTGTGAATTCATCAACTGGTGAGGAGTCGTCTCCGTTCAATTGTTATTAGCGACCTTACTATCCGACAACGGCGACGTCCATGAAACCTTCGCAGAAAAATAGACTCCGCTCCTTTCATACCATTTCGCGATTATTCCGAGTCGCCCAGTTGCTTAAAAGAAGGGAAATTATGTTGGAGCTGAAGAGAGGGGGCCGCGTCCGAGTTCATTTATTGCCTTGCCGTTCCCGTCCTCAAAAAAACTTAAAAATTGGTCATTTCACGTCGTAGTCGTGCAGAGACGGCAAAGAAATTTACAAAAAGCGTGATGCACGTGCAGAGTTGTTGTTTTGCTAACTAAACCTATTGCTTTTTGATGCTGCCGTTGCCGTCGCCTTCGTACGTAGTTTCGTAAGGTCCCTGGTGACCATCTGCGACTACATAGACCAATGTTTATGGAGATCGCGCTTTTCGATCATGCGCGCCTGCATTTTGGAACGATCTCTCTTTAGCGCCCCGTCTGTGGAGTGGAATCTTTTTAAAGTAGACTTAAAACATTTTTTTATCCATTTATCTTGAATTTTTTTAGTTTTCTGACTTAGTTTCTTGTTATTACTAAAAGAGCATTTAGGTTTACTGTGATGAGCTAGAAATAAATTATTATTATTATCGGTATCATTATTCTAAATCATCTAGAACTTATTAAGAAAAACATTATTCACCTCTAGTTACGTATAGGCGGCTATGCGTAGGACCCTTTTTGGGTATTTCCGACGAATTCGAGGTCGCGACGATTGCGATTATGAAACGAGGATCTTAGAGAGTAATGTGAGGATTGCATTGCCATTCTGATCACGTTTGACAACGGTGGCTAGGAAATCTGTCAGATTCAGAGTTTTTGTCAGTGCGTATTAGACTTGTTTATTTTATTTTCTCGTATCCGTCATCGTCGTCGTCATGGTTGCTTGAACTGGATAGTAGCGTTACCAAGCAAAAAAATTCTTGATGTACGACGGAAAACACGTGACGAAAACGACTTCCACAAGTACCCATAGAGAGACTCATTGGTTTACCAACTCTGAGTTCTCTCTTTTACCTCTTTTACCATGCTCGTTTCCGCAGAGACATGAATTTCCTGACCATCACTCATTCGCAATAAAAAGACAGACTACAATAACTTAATTTAAAATACCCGGAGTGGGCTTCTGACACAGGAAGGAGTCAGAGCTGATGTTTATTTGGAGTGAGATAAATGTTTTTGTTTGTTGCTCAGGAAACACTTTGTAACAGCAGCGTAGTAGTACAGTAGTCTATCAGTTCAACAAAGGGCGTTTGAAATCCGGCAGCTGATCAGGTTAAAACCGATAGAAATCTTCAGAAAACAGGGAAATGGCATCTCTAAGTTGGGCACTGAATGACAAATGTAACGGAAAGATTTACAGCTGTTTACAACTTTCTAACCATTAAAGTGATTTTCATGCCACTCATTTCTATTTTTTCAAGGAAACGCTTTGTTTTTCTGGATTTATCAAAACTATATATTTCCGCCGAGCGGTATAAAAGTCTCCAAGAAAAGCAGAACTTTGCTTGGTCTATGTTTTGTGGTTTCCAAGAGTATCTTTTCTTGTGTTAATCACCACGTTTTTCATTTTTGAGTATTTCCTGGCGATTGTTGCAATCTCAACCTCAGATACGCCCTGATTCTTTAGGGACAACCCCATTCTCTTGCAATGGGGGGCAAAATGTCACGTGATTAGGTGTTCCTGCCGTTAGAAAAACATCTTTTCATCATGGAGAAGTGATGAGGGGCAGTAAAAAATTGAAACGTCAACTTTTCAGGGACGTCTCTCGTCATTATTCGATAAACCAAGGTTTTCAACTATCTAATCTGAATTCAAATCATTCCGTACCAAAGGGTTTTATTATTTTTTTCCTTTCTAATCAACTCTCCACAGCATGCAAAATCTTTTAATTAACTTATCTGCAAGCATTTCATATTATTCATAATTATAAGCTTCTTCTTATTTCTGTCTAACTGGACTGGATGTCTAACTTGTAGTTGTAATTCAGGGATTAACGTTTTAATGTATTATTTTGTATGTTATGCACGAAATCGCCAAAGGTGTTAAATCGCAGTTTATAAGCCTGCTCTAGCCTATTGACGCTATTCAACACTTCAGCCTGTATCTGGCTAGCAACGATGCATCTGTCGCCCACAAATGAAAAATTGTGAGTAAATAAATGACTGAAAATAGAATTAAAACAAGCCAACATGACACACCTTCTCAACAATATACTGACTGATCAGTTGCTACTGTCATTTAAATTTTTTTGCTTTCAATTCTGCCTAATTGTCAAAGCTTGTGGTGGGATTATTTTCCCTCGATGCGCATTTTTCGGTTTGCTTCTTACTGAATGACCGATGACTACAGTACAACCACAGTCAACATATCCTCTCAAAAAAACTCTGTCTTGTCACTCTTTTTATTGGGCTGATTGCAGGTCCAGATTCATCAAAATAAGTCCCTGCAAGTACCTACCATGTTTCAAGTTTTTAAGACCCTTTAAGGCTAAAATCTACTGGTCATACCGGATCTATAAAAGAACCTGTTCAGGCTAAAATCTCCTTACTGTATCTTAAAAACTCTTTACGTTTCACTGTTATTCTAAATTCGTGTGATCGAGGTTTCATAGTACTTTTACATATAAATACTCATTTGGTATGAAGATATTACAAATCTTTATAGTTATGGGCTGAATACAACATAATTCTATCAGCTACAAGGAATGTTTTTCTCATATTTGTTCTTAAATTTATTTCGGCTTACATCCGGCATAAACCTTCGTCGCGAAAGATAACTGATATTGATTTTTTCTTCTTTTTTTTTTTGCTTATCTTGCAGCATAAGCTTTCACTCTCATTTCTGCATTGAAGGGTTGCCTGCGAATACAGCCGTCTCGACCTAAGGTTACTCCTCGCCACTAGGCCGGAATGTTTCTATCTCGCAAAAAATTCCCGGCGAGGATAGACGCCGTATTCACAGGCGACTTTGAGGGGCAGCTTTCCTTTTTAAGCCGGTGAAATTATAACAACGTGAAATGGCTAGACTAGCCAACAAGTGTTATCAGGTCAGTAAAATATGGTTTTTGTTGGTATTTTAAATAGACATCTTTCAGCTCACGTAACCAGTTCATGAGTACAATGCTTGTACCCGTAACTAAGAAGCAATCTGTCAATGAAGTCTGGTGCCTAAAAATCGATAATACAGTAGAACCTCGAACTAATTTCCCTTTCCCTTGATTACAGTTTCGCTGAAATTTACCCCGAAAAGTCGAATTCCCCTCTGACTCGAACTGTTTTTCGTTTCTCTTCAGAGTTCGAGTTACCGGGGTTCTACTGTATCTTTTGATAAGGTGATTGGTGGTTCGGGTCTTAGCCAATCGCATTTCAGTATCGAACTGGATGTTACTAAAACGGGGAGCGGGCAGCGGAAAAATGAAAAATGGGAACAAAACCTAGCTTGCACTTCAGCCCTATCAGTAACTTCATTTCCAATTCTCTGTTTTGCTTTCATTTTTCATTTTCCAGTTCCCCTGCTTTTCTCCGATTCCCCGTTTTAGTAACATCCCTATCGAACTGGTCTCTCAGCCTTGGTTTTTGAATAAATGGGAGTCTGAGAAGCGTGTTGTCTCCCTTGAATAACCGTTATGTTATCAGGAGCAATGAACGCCTTGGAGAGAGAAGAAAAGGAAAAGGTAGAAATAGGATTTATGCACATAATCATTGTGTAATGCAACACAATTTGTCCGTTCTCACCCTTGCGATTGTGTGAATTATCGCTACTTTGCTTTTGGTTAAAGCTGATGGTCAAGTTGTAAAAGTGTCCTTAAAATCCCCACTTGCAGAGATATTTAATGTACTAATCTGTATGTTATGTTTATGCCATAATGGGAATTATAAGAATTAA